TAAATATGAAGGTCAATTAAATTATAAAACGTGAGGAAAAGCTCCCATTTTTAATTTAATTGGCACATTTTTAATTGAATTTATTTATTGGTCCATTTATATATTTCTACTTTTTTTTAGTTATGTCAGTTTCGGTCCTCCACACTGCAGAACTTTCACGAGGTAATTCAATGTCTGAATCAGGTGTGTTGGAGCAGGGAAAAACATAAAAGCTGTAGGGCTGCGGCCCTCGAGGACCAGGATTGCCCACCCCTGGTCTGCATTAATACACAAAGACAGTGAACTGGTTAACTCATGTCAGTGGATCTAATGTACCTCTGACAGACTGACCTCTTCCTCTGCTGCTCTCAGCATTATCAGAGGAAGAATACTGCACGCTGGCAGGCTGATTCCTCATCTTCTTTTCTCGCATTTTCACTTTAGCAGCWGACATTTTCTGTAAAACAACAAAAACAACACCAAAAAAATAAAACTTAAGCTGTAAGTTAACACTGCAAACTAGTTAGCCTAGCAACACAACCATTAGTACAGAGACGTAAATACCTTTTTATTACTTAAACACAAATAAAACATGTTTGGACAACATTTACACACACATTTTATCAATACCAGAATTACCTCGAAAGTTCCCAGTAGTTCCCAGTACGACTATATGCACATAAATACGTGTTTCAAAAGGTTCGACTCTGCTCGTCGATGGCYACCATGTGAGTCTCGTGCTAGTTGTCGTTTCCGGGTGTTCATGGGAAATGTAGTGTATTGCCGCAACAAAAATACACATTTATCAAGCTCTACAATTTTTTACCTAAATTGGGGCCTGAAACATTTATACAATTATGAAAATGTATATTTAGATAATCTGATCTGTGTTACAACTATTGTTATTACCAATTTTAAAACTAAAATCAATATCTTTGCGCGTCTAATACCTTACTTACGGTAAATGAAACCTGATGTTCCTGAGTGATTTGCTTGCCTCAGACTTTGTTATTCCCACTCAATCTGCCTTTATTCGTCGGTGAAATGGCTGCACTGATCAGGAGGATCATCAGCACAGCTAAAGCTCCAGGTGCCATCGGTCCATACAGGTGAGTCATTATTAAACTTTATACACAGTAGGYCTATGTATCATATTCTCAGATCATAAAAGCAGTGAAGCATGACTGTTATTATTGAATAACATTTGTAACAGCTTTCTTTATAAGAGCCACGGTGCGAGAACAGTGCATGTTTTTAGATGTTGTACTTTACACCGAGTGGCGTTTTGAATGGTTGAACTATTAAAAACAACAGCAAACTGTGCTTTGTGGTTTGAGCTTCTCACCTGGAGTTCAACATTAGTGCATTGCTCTGAAAATTTAAAAAATAACTACTAACGAGACAATTTCAAGCAGTTTGARGTCAATTATTCTGCATAAAGAAAGATTATTCACAAGTKGAAAACATCCAAGGCATGTTCCAGCAAATTCACCCATGTCAGACCATGCAATTTTCAGAAGAATTGCAGAAGTGCCATAGCTCAGACTCTACATGAGTCTGACAAGACTGAAAACTAAGGTTATTATATAAACTAAACTTTTTTTGAGATGTCTTTCCCTCATCAAAAACAAACCCAGAGTGTTGCTTTGATTCATTCTTGCATGTTTAAGAAATCCTTGACTCTTGTGGAGCTGTCTAAATATTGGTGAAGAACTGCTGAAGTGGGAGTGTCAGAAATGGTAGGAGGTTCTTAAAGAGACGGAGGCCAATTTCAAGTCTTTAGATGCAAAGTCAGCTAACCTTAATGAGCTGAAGCGATGGTGTGAAGAATGGTCAAGAAAGAAAGCTATGACTTCAAGTTATTGCTGTTACAAACTGTTGGATCATGTTTTTTTTTT